AGAGTGTGGGTAGAGAGCTATTTAAGGAGCAGGAGGAAGGGTACGAGGAGAAAGAGGAGGACAGGAGGACAGGAGGAGAGCAGAGAAACATGGTGGTGCAACATTTGAGGAGAAGGTGAAGCTGTAGAGAAGGTGCAGTAATAACCACAGGGGGACGGACAGAGAGGAAAGGACGGGCGTCAGGGGAAAATTGAAGTGTGAGTCAGGGGGATGAAGATAAACAGAGACAATCTGAACTCTAGATTTGGCTGCACTGCTCCACAAGCAGGCTGGTTCTTTCTGTACTGTGGCTGTCACCATCCTGTGCACCAAAACCAACAGGACCCTCTTCTTCTGCATAAACACTTAACTTGTCCCCGGATAAAACCAAAGAGCTGACGAAGCACCGCTCACATTTTTGATTGCAAAGTAAACGTGCCCAGAAAATACCTCCCCAAACAGTGTGAACACCTTTTCTAAGAGAAAGAACTGTAACTGAAGTCTCTCTGTGCACTGAGAAGACCTGGTGCACAGCTGCAGACGCTGGCTGCTCATCCATCCAGTTTGCACATGCCTAGCAATTAGTGAGCTGAACCTGATCCATGTGTCATGTGACCGGTAACTGACCACTGGCCTCTGAGTCAACACACACCTGTTAGAGATAATGAAAATTATCAAATGTATAGTTGTGTGTATAAACTACTTCCCTGGTGTGAGCTGCGACTCTGGACACGTCTGAGTTGTATTTACATTTGGATTTCTTTCAGAAAAACATCTCAGTGAATAAATCAAAAGGAGTTTGGTTTTAAAGAACGTACTGATCACATGTGTGGTCAGTGCACGGAGCAGTAAATACTACACTTCTGTAGCATCAGTCTTATTTGAGCAATACGCACGTAGAATTTAAATGTTTGCATCTGTCAGTGTTTTTCACTACTGTGAAAAAGTGAGAGAGAAAGGAAGAAAAGGAACAAAGTCTCTTAGGCTCAGATGTACTTTTCAACCTCAAGGCTCGGATCCCTTTCTGAGTAGTGGGGATGGTGAGGTCGGTGTGTGCATGTGTGTGTGTGTGTGAGCCGCTGTCTTGCAGCAATCAGCCTTGTCTGTTTCACTTACAGCTGATCTCTCAATCACTAAACACACTCAGAGAGAGAAACTGATGGATGGACAGAGTCCACCAGATGGACGAGTACAGAGAGGCAGAGGAGCAAGCAAGTCATTTATCAAATGAACAAGTAACTTGCACAGAAACTGTCCCTGACATCAAGAGGTGTGTGTGTGAGTGTGAGTGTGTGCCCTACACACACACACAAGCAGCCCTGAAGTAGTGCTGGCCATCTTAATTGCAGCTGTGGATGTCTGCTTGCCTTGAATAACGTCTGCCTGTTGGTGTGTGCAGCTGTTGTCTATGTGCACAGCATGTATGGACTGTGTGCAGGTAAAGAAACAGTAGCTCAGGTGCTTTAAAGAAGGAGAGAACAGAAACCTGGTGAAACGCTGGCGTTTCCTGTGAAGCCCACATTTGTGGTTGCATGTGAAACCACTGGGTGGACTGTCATGAAATTTGTCACATATTCATGTGTGAGATGTACAAACACACAGAGCCGCTGTACCAGTCAAACTCCTCGTGTGTCCAACAAAGACCTGCTGACAGCAAGACAAACTCCTTTATTTGTTGTAACATGAAGAACTCAAAATGAAGACTGCTCAACAAGATCAGGGCCCAGGATGTGGGACACCAAACTTGCCTTCAGGCTAAGAAATGAGCATCCAGTTTGCTTTTCCAGCACACGTGTGGTCAGTGTAGGACACAAAGTCCACACAGTCTCAAACCGTTGACTGCACGAGGACATCTGCTCAGGGCCCCAGCAGACCTCGGCAGGCGACAAATGCTACAGCAAGCAGACCATCATGTCCACACTGATGTGGAAACCTTAAGCTTGGCTAGTGTGTCTCTCATGTCCCCAGATTTTATGGAAATGCAATACTAAACCACAGGAGTGTGAAACGATTTGGATCATCACTTCAGATATGATGACAAATATGTACATCTGCTGCACCAGGGCCCAGCATGCCCAGCTCCTCGACCTTAGTCTGTGCCCAGCTCCTCGACCTTGGTCTGTGCCCAGCTCCTCGACCTTGGTCTGTGCCCAACTCCAATTCCTATCCCTGCAGGTGGTGGGCCCACAGGGTGGCAGCTCTCTTTTGGGCTTTAGCTAACCATGACTCAAAGCCTGGCCACCAGATACTTGCCGGCCAGTCCCCCTCCCAGCTCTGGCTCCATGAAGGGACCCTGGTTTCCCTAATGTGGGCGAGGTGACAAGGCTCTGAACAGGTAAACTCACTGGAGTCACTCTTTGTTAAGCCCCTGCCCTGGGGCACCCCACCAGGGGCTATTAATCCCAGTGACACAGCTCTCAGGATCACACACAATCCCCCCCACCATGTTAAGGTGGTAACTCAATGTGTGAATTTTGTCTTAGCAGCCAGAGACAGCCTCTGTGGTGTATGTGTGAGGTCTGTGGTAGCAGCAGGTGGATCTAGGGAAAATCGCATCCAGCACCAGGACTGTCAGCACAGGTGCCTCCAGGGAAAGTGTGCTCTCCCTGCTGCTGTTCTGCCTCTACACCAACGACTGCACCTCAGGGGACCCCCTCTGTTGAGATGACACAACAGTTACCAGTCTCATGCGAGACGGTGACGAGTCGGCCTACAGATGAGAGGTTGAACAGCTGGTCCTGTGGTCGCAACAAGCTGGAGCTGAGCACGCTCAGTGGACGTCAGAAGAAACAGGGGAAGACAAATTCCTTGTGTTTAAACATACTTGGCCAATGAATGTCATTCTGATTCTGAGGATGAGCCTAAAGATAAGAACACCCTCCATTTCCAACACCTGGCTTTGACAGAAAAAGGGAGAAGAGGAAACACCCATCCTGGAGGAGAGCGTCCTCATCACTGAAGCCTTTTCTCTCAGAAGTGAAACACACTTCAACCCACTTCAGTGTACCTTGTCGATCGGTCTCACTCTCTCCTGTCAGAATCATTTAGCAGTTGTCAGACTTTCTGCTTTTAGCTCATGTGAGCCAGCTGAGATTTTCTCCCTGGTTCTTTTCTGCAGTGAAACACAAACTTGTTTTCGCTCATCATGAATTAATTTCCTCCGTGGCAGTGAGACATGTTCCTGGAGCCTTCACAACCTCCTGCAGGTCGACCTGGACTGAGAGACTGAAAGTGCTCGCTAGCCCGGCAGCATGAAGCCCACAGACAACATCACACTGCTGCTACCTCCACTCAAAAACAAGATCTGTTTCTGAACTCAGTCTCCAGTTTTTCAAACTTCATTCCAGAAAAGAAGAGTCTTCCATTTGGGCCTGAACAACACACCTGGCAGCTGCTTGTCATTGCTCATGTGCGACTGTGTGTGTTTATCCGTGAGACTCGCCCTCTGCTGCCCTCCTGTAATCGTCTCCTCTCATTGTGAGAATAGAACAAATATGCTCTGTGTGAGTGTGTGAGAGCCACTGGTAATAAAGCCGTGATGGAATAATTCTCTCCCACTCTCACCGTTTATTATCTCAATAAAAATGCATTAGCTGGCGTCTCGCTCTCCTCAGTCTGTCTCACCCACCGCTTCTTGTCTTCCACTCCTCCACTTTCATCCTTCCCTTTTCCCACCCTTCCTCCCCCCACATCACTCTCTCTCTCTCATTTTTCCCTCGTCATTATCCAGCCCTCCACCACTCCCACTCTCCTCACCACTCATTCATTCATCGTTTCCTCCCTTTATCCTTTTATCAGTCTCATTATCATTCGCTCATCGATACGTCCTCCTCCTGCTGCCCATCTCACTGTCTCGCAGTCACTCCATCCATCACCTCCCATATCCCCCCATCCTTCTTCTGATCCTCCTACTTCCTTTCCAACACTCCTTCCCTTTCTCCTCCTGCTCTATCAATTTTTGAAGCGGTGCCTTGTGCGAGACACGTTGCCTGCTAAGAAACCAAATCAAGTTGAAGTTAATGAGGACAGACACAATAACAGCAACATCTGTGTGATTACTAAATCATGCTGCAACAAATTCTACTGCTGTGAAAATCAGAGCGTAAAAGAATCTCTGCTGAGACTGTGTCAAAGTGCATTGAATCTATTGTGCAACTACATGCAAGACGCAGTTGCCTTCATTAGCTTGTTGTGGTTGGATGGTTAACGTTTTAGGAAGGGAGTCTTGTTTGTGGTAGATTTTATTTATCAAGCTTTGGACAACATGCAGAATTCGATATACTGTATTTAATGTTATATATAAAAAATTACTTTATGTTCGTATCTCTGTCTCTTCAGCAAATGCAAAGCTACAGCTGCTAACTTAGCTTGGCGCAAATAGTGGAAACAGTTCTGTCCAAA